TAGGCACATGATCACTATACATGCACGAGGGCCACTTTCAATGGAGAAACCATAGTGTACTAGTACAAAACAACTGCCCTAGCTGTGACGGATTATCTGAGCAATAGCTGGCACAATGCTTTCGCCACTGAAGGGTGCCTCTGTGATAGAATTGATATCGTGCCCGGAATCGTGCATCAAAATGTAGGATATCTGTACTCTACAGAGTCCTACAAAAGCGGACATTTGAATGCACCACGGCAGAGATACTCGGATGCCCAAGCTGATGATAAACACACAGATTTTCCAAATTGGCCAGTCAGTCTTGAAGATCCCTAGAGCTGATAAGAGGACTGGGGAGGCCTTGCTCCAAATTACAGTTCCTGTCTGAGGGATAAAAATACCTCCCCCACATGTGCCCCGTTCACTGATAATAAAAAACGACCAGCGTTGAGGATGATTTATGGGTTTTTGTAACCTGGGCTTTATTAAGTGGCAAAAGTTACTCACAAGGAGGAAAAAAAGGACGACATCTGAGGGAAGGAGAGACAGGGTACCGGATTTGGCCAGGTGTTGAGACAGACAGCTGGACTGGCGAAATTTCCTCACGGTTTTGTGAGAAGTCTTAAGTTATGGCAGAGATTGCGTGAAGTAGTGGCGAGGTGGACTCCCGCTGCTGAAATGAAAGTTTCTTTAAGTTGCATTCTGACTTTAGAAAATAACAAATGACATCCTTTTGGTTGGTGGGTGGGTTGGTTGGTTGGTGGAAAATTTACTCAGCGATATATTGTATTCATGCTACTCAATTAATAAAGCTTTGCTTAAAGGGAATATACATCATTTGCTTTTGCTGTAATTTTCAGAAATGGTTGGAATTGGGGGGTTGGAAATATAAAGCAAATATAGTTACACTGACTTTTTGGAGGTTTTGGGTTCGAAAATGCTATAAAAACCAAGAAAAACGATCATTTTCCTTTAGTCTGGTTCCCTGACTCCATATAAGAAGAAACAGAGCAGTTTACATACATTGGGGAATTGTAAGGTTAGGGAACCAGTCTAGCTGGCTCGTACCCGTTCATAGGTTTGTAATCGATTGTAAACAAGTGCGATGGTCAATTGGGGCCAGTATTTGAAAAAAAAGCCAGTTGTTTCCAACGCTGATCGGCCGATCAGCGTTGGAAATTGATACAAAAATACCACTTTTCTTGAAAATGACAGTATACCAGGTGCCATAATTTTACAGGATGCTTTAGACTGTCATTTACCAACATCCTATTAAGGTATTTCGCAAAAACTTGGTAGTTTTATTTTTCGATGTTTGCAAATGTTGTATATTCCCTTTAACACTGATGCGCATGCGTCTAATTTGCATATTTTTGCGCCCCATCACGCCCCATTCGTTTTCGTTTTCTGTACCCTCGAGGTACGGATACAGTCCGGGTCCACGTGCGGATGGTGCCGTAAGCCGTCTTCACACGTTACCCGGCCGCGGCCGTTGGTTGTACCACTTGGTACTTGTTCAATTTAAAAGTAGCCTACTTTGTATCGTTGTTTCATTTTCTGGGGCTGCTTAACAAATCATGTGCTGAGCCTAGTGTCCAAATGCATTGTACTTATTCCTTGTGTCACAAAATTTACGAGCCAGGAAATGTTTTACAAAGTACGTGTAGGAGGGGGAGGAGAAAATGGGGTGGCAAAAATCAAATGAACATGGTAAACACATTGCATGTCAAGCTATCCCATTGGTAAATTTTATACACATTGCTTGTCAAGCTATCCCATTGGTAAATTTTGTCATATGGGCTCCTTGCACAAGTGCCCCCTCATTAGGGAGACCACTGGGCGAGACATTGGAACGCGCTGCTGAAGACGCCTGATGCTTTCGCGAAGACACTGTTGCTTTGTGCACATGCGTTGCACCGGTATGTGTCCCGTCCAAAGGGGCTTTCAAAAACGGTTAAAAAAGCCCTCTCTTGTTCGCGCAGAGAGCGGATATATAGGGATTATAAGTTTGGGAGGGGGGGGGGGGGGGTTGGGCCTAGAAAATGCTTCCGGTATTGCACGCCGCTGTTTCCAGACCACTTAATTTTTATGCCCCGCGGCGAAGCCGAAGGGGCATACTGTTTCCGCCTTGTCCTTCCGTGGGTGGGTGGGTGTGTGGGTGGGTGGGTGTGTGGGTGGGTGGGTGTGTGGGTGGGTGGGTGTGTGGGTGGGTGGGTGTGTGGGTGGGTGGGTGTGTGGGTGGGTGGGTGTGTGGGTGGGTGGGTGTGTGTGTCCGGATAAATCGTGTCAGCGCGATAACTTGAGAAATACTTAACATATGAACTTCAAATTTGGTTTGTGGATTGTTCTTGGTAATCCTAAGAAGCCTATTGCATTTGGGGCCAAAAGGTCAAGGGTCAAGTTCAGAGTGGCTAAAACAATAGAAATCTTGTCAGCGCGATAACTTGAGAAATACTTAACATATGAACTTCAAATTTGGTTTGTGGATTGTTCTTGGTAATCCTAAGAAGCCTATTGCATTTGGGGCCAAAAGGTCAAGGGTCAAGTTCACAGTGGCTAAAACAATAGAAATCTTGTCAGCGCGATAACTTGAGAAATACTTAACATATGAACTTCAAATTTGGTTTGTGGATTGTTCTTGGCAATCCTAAGAAGCCTATTGCATTTGGGGCCAAAAGGTCAAGGGTCAAGTTCACAGTGGCTAAAACAATGGAAATCTTGTCAGCGCGATTACTTGAGATATACTTTACATATGAACTTCAAATTTGGTTTGTGGATTGTCCTTGGCAATCCTAAGAAGCCTTTTGAATTTGGGGCCAAAAGGTCAAGGGTCAAGGTCACAGTGGCAAAAACAAAAGAAATTTTGTCAGCGTGATAACTTGAGATATACTTTACATATGAACTTCAAATTTGGTTTGTGGATTGTCCTTGGCAATCCTAAGGAGCCTATCGCATTGGGGGTCAAAAGGTCAAGGGTCAAGGTCACAGTGGCTAAAACAATAGAAATCTTGTATTTATTCTGAGATCATAGGGATTAGGGATTTATTCATATAAAACCTACAGAAGACACTAATGCTGTCAATGAACGTTCCATTTGACCAAGGTACATGTAAGTTGATGTTAGAGTGGTGTTATGTCATGGAAACAGTCACGGTTGCGGGGCATTTGTGTTTGTAAACACACCTGACTTGTTTCTAGACATTTTAACTTTTATGAAGGGTTATCGACGCATCATGCTGCTCCCTGCTGCTTTTCACTTTGACACATTTCTTGCTCCTATTAAACTTTGAGAGTTTTAGCTCAATATCGGTCCGTTTCAGCAATCAGGAATATATGCTCGATCAAAAGACACAAGGCCGACGTTTAGATGGACCTGGGTGTCTTGCTTTTGAGTCAAAACCCAGAGGTGTAGCCAAAGTCTGGATTCACCTCAATCTTTGGGCTAAAGATTGAGGTGAATGTATGGTTTCAGCAACCATGGTTTTGGAAACACTTTGACTCCAAAGGCCCATGAACCACTAACCACCTAAGACTGGATTTAAAAAAAAATACGTTGTCTCATACACAATTTGCGGTTTGCCATTTTGACTTTTATCATTTCCTGATGTGGCATACAGAACATCTTGGGTGTTAACCGCAGGCCTTGCCCAAAATACAAGCCTAGACACGGTTTGTGAGTACCGGTACTCCTGCCCACTAACATCAAAGTGATAAATTCCTCTTGACGCACCGCACAACCTGGAAGGAAGAATGCGCTTAGTCGCAAATTAACGCAGGGTAGACCATCTGTCAGAAGCCCTTAGTGCAGAGTTGAGTCTCACGAGCAGGGCCTTATGCAACTTTGTAACCGACGCTACATTAAAGCTATAGTCCATCATTTGCAGCCATCCAAAAAGTAACCGGCGTAATTATTGTTGAAAAACATACTTGGTTGAAAGATAGTAAGTGGACTAAACTCTCTGCGAAATTATTCTTTCTGGCAAGCTGTCATTTTGAAGTAATCAACGAAAGAAGGCATTTCCAACGGTGATTCTTAAGAAGCACCGTAGGAAAATTTAAATTAGTAGTTCGTTTTGTTATTCAGCGCAGCGCGCACAAGTATTGGAACGACGCACACGCGCGCGCGGTTGTTATAATTCGTCGGATCAGTGCGCGACGTCGCGTATAGCTGCAATTCAAAACAATTCAAAACATGATTCAGTAACTTTTGATTTGAAATTGAGATCATAGAATGCTGTTTTTCTCGGAATGTACAGCTGAAGCTTAGCTGAAACTTCATCAGGTTAGTTGCTCAGTATCCTTCATTAGATTTTGAACTCTTTTGTTGCTTCAAACGAACAAAATGCACAAATTACAAATGATGGACTGTAGCTTTAAGCCGAGAGGAGGGGGGGGGGGGGAGAAGGCATTTTGCAGGGGTTTTGGGGCTCGCTGCTGTGAGCGCCTTTTCAGCAGGGGTTAGGAGATTTAGATCTTTGGATGTGGATTTAAACACATTCTTTTTTAGGAAATGCGGTGATACTTTATTTCAGATTGGATAGAGATTGAGCATAATTGATTAGAGCTTTAGGCAGACAGGATTAATTAAAAGATCATCAACAGTTCAAACTTGTCAATAACTCATTATTTCACGTCACTAGTGGAAACAAGCATTAACCCTTAAATCATGGGCTTTCCTGTATCCTCCTAAACCCACTACACATATAATGAAGAAATCCAATGGCACTTTCTATGTACTTCTTCTTTCGGGGGCATAATTATAAAAGCCCTTTATGTGAAAAATAGTAGGCTGGGCTCTTTTTACTTCCCTTACCTTGCAAAATCCGTCTACATTTTGTGAATTTGAAGGAACTGCATGGGAGTGTTAGTCCCATACGTAACGCCATATTTTCTTTAGTTCAGGCATTTAGCTTATCCCCGGATCCGCTGATTTCCTCGTTTTTCGTTTTCTTCTCATGAATGCCATTATAAATATCTTGTGTGGTTTGGGATTTCCTCATTTTTTCTAAATTCCCAGCATGCCTGTTACCGGTAGTTACATAATCATCGCAAAGACTAATAACATAACAACTCTTGTGGGTATTCTCCTTGCAGATGCCCAACAGTAGAATATAAAAAAACACTGAAATCCATGAACTTGTGTCTTGTTAAGCGTTTGTTTTTACACTTGTTGCACTTGCCCAGTTGAATTATATTGCTTTTTTTCTCAATAATAAATATGTTTGTACATATGTTCATGTACATGTATGATTCTACAAGAAAAGTATGCTTCATGCCATGCTGTGTAATGTGTACATGTGTATTGTGCATATGTACCTATATTATATTATCACCCCCATTGTCTGATACTTGGACTCTCCCACTGATAAAACCTTGCCTAAACCTGCAGCCTATTGGTGATAAGTTGCAGTGGCCTGGTCCATTGTTGTATTAGGGGGTGAACATCACAGCTGAGTGATCTGCATGTAATTTTGAAAGCCATGTGTACACCTAAGCATTAACTGGTTATTGTTCTAACCTTTATATTTTAGAAATGTATGCAAGCTGTAGTAAACAATCAATTCTTGAGTTGTTGTGTCTTGGTCTCTGGATAATTCTTATACCATACACTAAGCATTGGTGTGAAATTTGTGCATGAAAATATATCAGTTCTTTTAAAACAATTGAGTGTATTTAAGTTATCAAGGGAGTATATGGCTGTACTTCATTTCTGTTGAATTTGATCTAAACGTGGAAAATGAAACATATATTGTTATAACAAGCATTATCGTGTAATGGTACATTAAGGAGACACATTATCGTAATTTCTTCGCATGATGGGAGACATCGGCCATTAGGAAGACATTTTCATGTCTTCCTTATGTCATGGCCCCCCTTTAGAGGCAAAATTTTGGTGTCGCAATTAGATTATGTATTTGTTGCTCGTGGTCTAATTAGTAAGCATACCGAAATTCGTGGAAAAAGTACAAGGGAATATTGGGTTAGGATTGGACATTTGGGAGACATGCCCATAGACTTGTGCATAACATTTTTCAAACTTAAATGTGCCCTAACCCAATATTGCCTTGTCCTTTTCCCACCAATTTCAGTACGTTTACTTATTAGACCACAAGCAACAAATATAATCTAATTGCGACAGCAACATTTTGCCTCTAAAGGGACGCTGAGACATTAGAAAGACATGAACATGTCTCCCTAAGGGTCGATGTCTCCCATCGTGCGAAGAAATTACAATAACGTGTCTCCTTTAGTGGTACCATTACACGTATATTGTATTAACGAATGACAAAATTCCAACATGTACAGTGGTACTAATTGGAGCAAACGATGCGCTCATTCAGTGTGTTTGATGTTATTTTTTACTTCAACAGGTGTGGTTTTCTAATGATGGGGGGAACGATTTCCATCAAGTTCTTTTTCTTGAAAACAATGAAACCATCAATGGCTGCTATCTGAATCCCCACGGAGGCAGTGTGGTCTTTACTAGCAACCTTCACAAGCTGTACTACGGTAGCACAGGTATGGAGCACTGTTTCAGGCTGGTATTTCAGAGTCCTGCCAAACTAAAATGTGATAAGAGCAAAAGTAGGAATTGATTTCGGGGCACTTTATGTACAAGAGTGTGTAGTAATTTTTCGTTTAATTGACTCAGGTCATTTCAAACAATTGCAATGGACTTGGTGCACGAACAGTAGCAAGTTTGGTACCACTTTCGAAAAGCTCTGGGGGGGGGGGGAGGGGGGAGGGGTTTTAATCGTAATTCCAACCTTTCCAAATTTCAAATTCCGATTTTTCGGACAACCTTTTCTTTGCAAAGTCTGATTGTTTAATTAAGTTTCAACGAAAACAATGTCGCGACATATATTGCAAGCACAATTTTAATGTTTATTCTACCAGCGTACAGTGCCTGTCGTCAGCGCAAAGCTTGTATGGTAGACAGACATTGGGAATAAATTAGTTTAGTGCCACTGTTGAATACCAGTCTGAAATGACTGTTTTATTCTCTACTGTTAGATTCTCTACTCCATTATATTTTCATCATGATGTCCACGCTTGAGTATATTGTACTGTACAGGGTGAGTCAACAGTCACATAGGGATGTGTGTGAATTGTTTTCGTTTTGCCGAAAGAACGCACACCTTTTTTGTGATCCGTGGACAGAACTTTAAAGCGGTGGTTGTGTTTAAAATTCCATAACTTGAAAAGTACATGAGTGATTTGAATAATTCTTGTATTAAAAGAAAGCTTATGGATTGGGCTTTCATATCATAGATTTTCAAAGTGAAGAATTTCTTTGAAACAATAGTCCCGACATTTGGGTTTCGGTTTTTTTTACTCACCCTGTGTGTACCTTCAGTACATACATGTATTGTCTCATGTACAAATGGCAAACTTGGTTGGTTTTGAATAGTCAGTTGAAACTTGAAGTTAGATATTTACTGTTGCAAAGACTACCAAGATAACATTTTAATGCAACATTTCAAGGTGAACACTCACACACTTTTTTTTTTCAAGGAAATGGAACACATCCCTGTCAGGTACTAACATGTACTGCAGCAGCCTTCGTCTGAGGGTGTAAATTTTCATAGTCCTGTTGTTGTTTCGCAGTGAAGTGACCGTTCGCAGCAAAAATATCTGCCCACTTCCGTCTTGAATATCCCTGTGTTTAATTAATATGTCCAGTGTTAAGCCTTGAGGCACAAAAACACAGTCTGGATAATTGGCAAATATAGTTTACTACTGAGGCTCAGCAAAGTACAGTCAGTGTACTCTGTGTGTAATGTCAAGCCACTTTTAAAGCTATAGTCCATCATTTGCAGCCATCCGAAAAGTAACTGGCGTAATTATTGTTGAAAAACAAACTTGGTTGAAAGATAGTGAGGGAACTAAACTCCCTGTGAAATTATTCTTTCTGGGAAGCTGTCATTTTGAAGTAATCAACGAAAGAAGGCATTTCCAACGGTGATTCTTAAGAAGCACCGTAGGAAAATTTAAATTAGTAGTTCGTTTGTTATTCAGCGCAGCGCGCACAAGTATTGGAACGACGCACACCCCCGCGCGGTTGTTATAATTCGTCGGATCAGTGCGCTACGTCGCGTATAGCTGCAATTCAAAACATGATTCAGTAACTTTTGATTTGAAATTGAGATCTTAGAATGCTGTTTTTCTCGGAATGTACAGCTGAAACTTAGCTGAAACTTCATCAGGTTAGTTGTTCAGTATCCTTCATTAGATTTTGAACTCTTTTGTTGCTTCAAACGAACAAAATGCACAAATTACAAATGATGGACTATAGCTTTAATAATATTTTGCATGGTTCTTTGTTTTAAACAATTGAAGTTTTTGTTTTCATATGAAAAAGGGAATAAACATGTGCTTGGTTGCTAGGGGCTTGGTCGCCGATAATGGCCCTTGCCAATACCTTTCAGTCCAAAAGTCAAAACAAGTCAAAAAAGTATAAATTTTTCAACGATTTTGTTAAACAATTTAAATTCACGATTTGTGAAACACCCCTCTAGCTATGCCATATGGTATGTGCCTCTTCAGTCCCCATAGTACCATGGGACAACTCGGTACGTAGTCCCCACATCTACCAAACAAGTACATACATGCATGCACATGTTTATGGTGTAAATCGAGGACAGACACATGCAACATCATCGATGAATTGAGGACAGAAACCGAATTGAGGACACCTCGGTTGGAAAATGTGAACAAAACCAATGAGAGCTGTTGCGAAAAAGTTAAGAGTATAACAGAGATGCCATATTTCCGGTTTTAACCGGAATTTATTATTATTTTTTTTTAATCTCTCAAAATTGCGGTTTTTCCGGCCATCAAAATTAACCGGAAAATGAGAAGAAAAACTGTGGAAATGCGTTGATTTTTAACTTGTTAGCGCTCTCGATTTAGTACATGTAGGCGCACGCACAGCACAACGTTGTTCGTTGAAGTAGTCTTAAAAACAGTCTTTGTTGTTGCCGCGCCTGCATGCGATCCAGGCGGCCAACGTACTTCACGCAGTATACACCGGCGCCTCGCGTGCTGCATACACCGCTTGCGGGCGTGTTGTGTGCCAAGCACACGTAGCATTCAGCCTGGAAATAAAGTCTGTCATTTCAGTTATCGGTGGTTTCCGATCACAGTGAAATTTGTGAATACAAAAAACGCCGGGTACCAACCATGTTTTTGTCGTGCACATCACATAGTGCAAAGGTCATGTACACCGACAGCAGTGGTACAGTGTTGTGGAATCATGCATGTTTCGTTTCAAATATTTACACGTTGGAAATTCGGGTAGGCAGAATTAGGAATACCAGTACGTATGAAAAAAGTCAAAGTGATTGAACGAACCAACAGCTTAAAGGCCATAGAAGCAAAATAAAAAAATTAACGGAATTGGGCTTGGCTACAAGTTAAAGATGACAACGGGGACTTTGTGTCGGACTCGGAGTGGCTTTTTCACACACACAAAAATTCCATTTTTTTCAAGCAGCTGTTCCGGTTTTTTCAAGCAGACCCAGTTCCGGTTTTTTCAAGTAGACCCTGTGGCATCTCTGGTATAAACAAAGGAAAAGGGAAGAGGAACAAAAGAAAATCCTCGATTATACCATAAACAAATGTGCCTGTACTTGTGCATGTTTATGGTGTAAATCAAGGATACACATGTGAAGCATCATTGAGTAATGGAGGACACTCAGGGAGTCAAATGGAGGACGACCTCGATTAGAGGAACATTAGAAAATCCTTCATTTACACCATAAACAAACCTGCTGTTTTGTGTGAAAAGTTGTCACTGTCAAATCTACAACATGTTTTTTTCCCTTTATTTCAATTGCTTTTTGAGCTCCATTGATACAATGTATAACTTTATACACAGCACCATGCACCCCAAAAGTGCACTAGACAGGAACCCGTGGGTTCAATTCCACCAAAAGACATTTTGAAGGAGCATCATCTGCTTCTTGGAAAATCGGATTCCTGAAATTGTGGTTAGTCTCTGTAAAGGAATCAAAGATTACAATCTTGTATATGAAGGGCTTGTCTCATGTCAACAGCTGCATGACATGTTATGGCACATTTACCACCCTGCATTACCACAAGGAAAACCCCCTCAGGGGGAATCCATAGGCTCAAGGCAGGAATTAGGGATTTCTTTAGGCTGGTTCCGGTTGGCCAAAATATTTACCCAGTGTTGGCACAACAGGGTCAGGGCCGTGGGCAAACCCAACCTGCAGCAGTATGGGTTCTAGCTGGAGGAACGTGCCAGGGCGTAATTAGCTGGGATTTAAAGTCAGCTCCCCTGAGTGGGCTGGATGTGTGGGCTTATGATATCAAGCTGCTTGATTGCTGATTTATTTTCAAGTTCAATTGGAGCTTGTCCGTCCAAGGTTGATTGATTCTGAGCTTCTTGGCTTATTGACTCTGCTATGTGCACTTTGGACTCTGTGCACCAACTGTAGAGGACGCTTTTTGTGTCCACTTTTGTGGGCACCAGTAAGGGGGGGGGGCGGGGAAACATGGCCTGCTTGTACTTTCTCACATGTATGGCATGAAGATGTATATGACGGGACTGCTCATTTTATTCTGAATGATGTGCACAAAGCTGTGGTTACTTCATGTGAGCGCCACGCACCGTCAGCCATGGGCGTTGCGAGGGGGGAGGGGGTAGCACTCCCCCCCCCCCCCCCCCGAAAACGGGGGAAAAAAGAAGAAAAAAGAGGAAGAAGAAAGAAAAAAAAAGGAAAAAGAGGTGCGAAGCCATATTGCTGTTAATTTGATGGTGGGGGAGGGGGTAGGGCAAATGCTCACGCTCGGAAAAATGATAAATTGAGAATAAAGTGAAAAAGTTAAGAAACTTTGGGGGAAAATTTGCTTCCCCCCCCCCCCCCTGGAAAAAATTCTGGCGACGCCCATGCCGTCAGCAATATGTTCGCATGTCCCTCCCAGCGGTCTTCCTCAGCTCTCTATTTGTACTCGGCTCTCTATTTGTACTGTTGAGGGGTCCATGTGCACAGAGTCCAATAAACTGAAGAAGGGGAGAGATGCGGGCCGGAGGAATATTGCCATTGCTAGCTACGGTCTTGCACCCTTGTCAGGTGCATTATGCAGCACACTATGGGCCAGTGTTATACATTTTTGTAAATGTAGTTGAGTCAATCACTACCGGTAGTCTATCACAATCCTGCATGGTCAATTAAGTAAATCAAGTCATTTGTGGCTGTAGTGGTAACGTAATGGAAATGAAAAATTCACTTTCACCTTTCTTGTGGAGATCTACTGCCTTTATTTACAGGTGTACGATATTGCAGTAAAAGTACATGAAACAAGTGACAACATCAGACTAATTTAATGTGGTTGAGACCCTACATGACAAACTTGTGTCCTTAAGCAAGACACTTAACCATAATTGCTTCGTCCTTCGGATGGGACGTAAAGTCGTAGGTCCTGTGCGTTGTAAAATGCATGTAAAAGAATCCAGTAACACTTATCGCTAAGAGAAGGGATTCACCCCTGTG